CAGCGTCGTGCAGCTACCTTATTTAATAATTCATATCTGAGGATCTGCATCATCTGATAAATAGAAAAAACCCATCAATTATAATTTTGGTCAAATTTGCAGATCATTTGGCCACAATACAATTTCAAATCTGGTAAATGATCTGCAAATTTGACCAAAATTATAACTGATGGGTTATCTATTTCTGTATTTATCAGATGATACAGATCCGCAAATATGTTTACCACTACTGGTGAAGTTAGGGTGAATTGATGAAATTTACGGTGTACTATAGGTACCCAAAGTGACATAATTTGTGTTTTAGTGTTTTAGTGTTATTACTATAGATGGCTGGTGAAACTGGTGAAATTCTTGGTGAATGGTAGTGAAACTGGTGAAATTTAATATAATAGACTATCAGATTTTAGTTTCACCAACGTTATTTAGTTTCACCAGCATCTATTTATTACCATTAAAAATTATTTCTATAAAAGGAAATTATTTATTTTGTGTATTAGCGTTTTAGTGTTTTAATGTTTTAGGAAATTTGTCCCAAAAATGGGGTCAGCTAAAGCGGAGTTAATTCAATATATGATCTACATGATGCATAAATTACATTCTTGATATCTATATAACTCATTAACCATAATAGCATCAAAAGGTAACCCTAAACTTCACTCCGCTTTAGCCGACCACCAAAAATGGTAGTTATGATAGGCTGATAACGGGTACATCATGCATAATTATTACATAATGCATTTTGAACTTATCTAAGCCGAATGATGTGTGCTGGTTTGTGGCGCAGAATTTTTAAAAAGAAAATTGTCCGTGATGTGATATACAAGCTACTCAGACTATATTTTTGTCTCTGAAAAGTTCTTATGAATGTTTTATAAAAATTTTTTGGATTTCGAATTATAGTATAAAATTAATAACCCGAATACAGAAATATAGTCTGATTACTTTTTTTCATACGTTCGTACGTAGCTAAATTTAATCCATCGTTATCTATACAATTATCATTTAAGGGATCATTACTGCTTATTTAACTATTATTTATCAGATTTTGGGACTGGCAAAAAGGTCTAATTTGCAAAATCTGCGATTTATTTAAATGCGTATTTTTTATTATTATGCGTCTGGTTCGAAGAATTTTTTAAAATTGAAGTTTTATTATTTTTGTGCATACAATTATTATAATCATTATTTCGTTTATAAGTCATATGATCATCATAATAAAATGTGTCGAATATATGAGATTTTTTTCACCGGTGTATACATAATACCATGAACAATTATGGAAAGCGGCAAAAAAATCGGGATGGATATCGTTAAATATTAGTATAGATGTTAAGAATGAATGTGTACAGTGCAGTTAAAGGTTAAAAAGAGACGCGACAATCGCAAAGAAAGACAAACCACCACATACATAATAAGTACAATATTTATCTTGAGGATCATAACTACGAGCCATTGGTAACATTCCGTGTAAGATTACATAAAGTAAAGTACCGGTTACTATAGAAAAAAGAAAACCGGAAACAGCATCGTTCCATACGGTGATAAAGATAACATAACCCAAAACAGCCCCCAACATTTGAGATGTAACACCAACAGATGCAGCGATTAAGAAAGCCTTTAATCGAGAACCTGTGGCATAATATATTGGTAAAGAAATTATAAGGCCTTCCGGGATTTTACTGAAAAATATAAATGTTTATTAATGTAGGAATTAAAATGATTTTAAAATAAAGTAACAAAAAGATATTTACTGTAAGGAAAGTGCGATCGCATATATAACACCGATTTTAGCATTTGCAATTGCGGTCGCAAAAGTGGATAATCCTTCTGGAAAATTGCTATAACAAAAAATACAATTAAAATAAAATTATATATTTATATATATATATATATATATAGCATTACCTGGATTATCTTTTTCTATACATGTTTTAATAACAAATAAGGGGGATATAACCCAGGTACGACTGTATATATTTCTTTTTATTTAGAAATGAATAACTTACTGAAGAGCTAAGGCAACGGCAATTTGAATACCCAAACTTCTGAGTCTATGAGC